CAAATCTTTATCTAAATTGATGTGTTCTGCTTTAAACTGATCATGATTATTCACCACATAAGATTGTAACATTTATTTACTGTGATCTTCAAAGAGATTTACTCTTATGAGAATGTAAAGCAATTAGTCAACAAAAAATAAAAATAAAAAATCAAGTCTTCTTTATGCAAGAATACTTAAAGATATTTTTTTCTTTTTTGTAGGCTTCTGGATCTTGGGATTTTACTGTTCGAGTTTGGTCTCTAAATCATAAACATTATAAAAAAATCAGAGCCAATGTAAACCAATGCTCTAGTGAAAAGATCACTTCAGATAGGAAAGATAACGCACTCACCAAAACTCTACATTTACATAATATAAGTGAGACTGAAGAAGAAAATTCTGACCATCAAAATGAAACTACAAGTGATTCAAAAGAAAACCATGATGATAAAGAAAATGAAATAGAGTACAGAAGTTTAATTGGCCACACAGGAAATGTTCATTCAGTCACTTTTTCATTGATTGGAATGTTAGTAAGTACATCTTATTCTTAAATGACAACGCATTTATCTGAAGAAGAAAAACTTAGATATAAAACTGCTGCAGAAATCAATTGCATTTTTTTAAAAATATGTTTTAATGGTCATTCCCAGTTGTGGAAGAATGGAAGAATTTCAAAATTTCATCTGAGATTGCCTTTTCGTCAATATGTCGTTAAGCTAACATGGAAATAGTTCAATGCTGTATATTATTTAATAGATCTAGGTGCTATGCTATCATAGCTGGTTGAATTACTAACATTCTTTTTAAATATACAAAACTAGTTTCTCCTGATGTCATTATTTCCTTACAAATCTTTTCTGTTTTTTTCATTTGTCATATACATCATCTATAGTTTTAATGTTTTCTTAAAATATTTTTTTTATACAAGATAATAGATTTCAAATGAATTTTTCCTTTTTTTTTTAGATTCGTTTACCAAGTATGTGTAGAATTCAAACAGTGTATTTATGATAGTTATTCCAATATTTGAAAAGATTATTAAAAGAAACTTTTATAAAGAAGATTTGTTTAAAAATCAAAATATCAGTAAGAATTCATGTTAGAGGCTCATTTCATGGATGCTTTTAATATATATGTATACGTAAATCCTCTCATGACATTTATATACATGTCAGAAGTCATATTATTAAGACAACAAGAGAACTCACTAGGTATCTCTAAGTATCTAATTATAAGTTAGAGGAAGCTGATACATATATTTCATATATTCTTTTTGTTTGTGTCAATTTAATTACTGTACCTCATTAAATTTTATTTAGTTTGCTTTTCTAGTCCACATTTTCTCTAATTATTGACTTTGTTTAAGGCATCAGGATCCTGGGACAGAACTGTGAGACTATGGAATCCTTGGAAAGGTATCTGTTTGAGACTCCTTGTTGGTCACATTGGCTGGGTACAAGCTGTTAGTTTTTCACCAGATTCTACGTTTATTGCAAGTGCTGCTGATGATGACTATGTTAAAATCTGGGACATTGTTTCTGGTGATTGTGTTAAAACATTAGAGGTAATATAGAGAACAGATTAAAACATTGAGTAAAAATTCTGTTTACTTAGCAAAGATGAAAGAAAACACTTTTTTTTGCCATATATGTCTAGATTTATCTTATTGATAATCCTGAGAAGATGCTAAATTTAAAAAAAAATAAATAAAAAAGGAATTATTTCTTTTAATAAAAATTAATAAAATTTGCATTAAAATGTTTATGTATAGTTTACCCAAAAATATATATATATAAAAATAGCAATGTGAGCTATTGATGATGGAATGGCATACGTCTGAAGCTTTTTAAAATACTTCTCTTATCTTTGACTTTAGGGCGATACAGACATGGTACAGTTTTGTGCTTTTACTCCAGATGGTGAGGTTATAGCTTCAGGTGCTGCTGTGGTACAAGCGAAGCATCTACCCAAAAGGAAAAATGAAGAGGAAATAAAAGATGCAGAAGATCAACTTCTGGCCATGTTAAACTGTGATTGATGAAGTTTAGTATTCAAATGTAAATATAAATGATTTCTACAGACTTAAGTTTTAATCTGTAAATATAAATGAAAAGCACACAAAAAAACTAGTATATGCACTTAATATCTCATTGTAAATATTGCCTCATACCACATCTCTATAAGCTCTTATTAAACTGATGTATATCTTTTATAAGACTATCTAAAATATTACTTATGAACACGACATAATAAAATGAATACATCGTTACATATTATATTAACACATCACAATGTGCAGAAATTGAAGATATTTGAGGCTTGCAACTTTTCAACTTCTTGTTTCGGATTATCAAATTATTGTTTTAATTTTTGTAAGTTTTAAGTGGTTTTGTTGGTATGCCACTTAGAATAATGTTTAATGATGGATTTTTGATAGCATTATTTCCTCTAATAAGTCTGGCAATGTATTTTGTTCTAAAAATAGTTTTGTATCTGTTAGTAAAACTTTCATGAACAACATCACATTTAAAGACTAAGGTGGTTATTTAAAAAGTTTTCTCTTAATCAAATTTAAAAATTAAAAAAAAATAAAAAGGTTTGGCTTGACATTTTTGTTAATGATAATTGTACAGTTTCTATTTTATGTCCTACTGTTGTACTAAAATAGTATTGTTATGTCACTTATTTCTTTATAATTAATTCTTTTTTTTTCTATCATAACCTACAAATTTCTGCAATTTAGAATGGCACATCTCTAGTTCCATACGCTAGAACAAATTTGTACAAATACTCCTTCTTTTCTAGTGCTATTAGATCATGGAATGAGTTGCCTAGATCAACCAGAAAAACCAACGATTTGGCAGTATAAGTCATTATTAACAGGCACAGGTAGGACATAATCATCTTCTTTTTTGAAGTAACATCTGTATTTTATAAAAATAAGATGTGGTATTTTTTGGATAAAATTGTTAGGTCCAAATTTCCTGTACTAATAAATTGGGTCTTTTATTCTTATATTGTACATTTGGAATAAAATGTTCACAGTAGGAAACTTTTTTTTTTCTAATGTTTAATCAATGAAATGTTTAAAAAGTTGTCTTTCATAAAATTAGATACACAAAAATATACTTATTCGCTTCCAGTTAACTTGCCAAAATTTTTTTATTTTTTTGGATTGCTTTACTTTTGACCTAACTTTGACTATGTCATGTATAAATGAAATATAACTCCATACAGAATTATTTGTTATGTTTCTATGATTTATTAATTCTTGTTATGTTTCATTATATCTTGTATTTTTAAATTTAAAAAAGAATATCAATGAAGGAAAATTCTGTTTGATGAATAAAATGGTATTATCAGAAGAAACATCTTACTTTGTTCCTATCTTAGTTTCTACACATCAACTATCATACAATGTCAAGATAACATTTGTGTTTTTCTATCTAACTCCTTGAACTCTGAAGGAACATCTGAAACATATATACACATTTTTACAAACTGCAAACAAAACAATCTCTTGATTTAAGATGAATTGTTTGAATTTCAGAATGACTACAATGGGTGTGAATTATTTCAAGAACAATTTGAATCTAGTGGGTTAATTTTATATGCAATTTTACCAATTATACCTAAAATGTCCATCCTTGCATTTTAGTTTGTACTCTATATTTAATTCATATTCTTATATAATACAGATGTTACTTCAAAAAAGATGATGATTACGTCCTACGCGTCATGCATATTAACCAATGACTAAAATTCTGCTAAGTCACTGGTTTTCCTGGTTAGATCAGGCAACCCAATCCATGCTCTAATAGCGCTAGGGAAGAAGGAGCTATTGTACACATTAGTCCTAGCATATGGAAAGAGGAATGTGCAGATTTATATCACTAAAAAAAAAAAAGAATTGGGTAGTTCCTTTGTTATAAAAAATGGAAAATTAACTTAGCAAAACGTAATAAATGCTCTCCATATTAAATACCAGGTTGCTGAATCAAAAATGCTTGTCAATACTATTTCAATAACTTTTAATAGCCTGAGCTCATATGCAGTTAGTTTCAACTTTAGCCGTATTTCTGTGAAAAAAAAGCTAGATTGATCATTGGCACATGAACTGCGTAGGACGTAATTATCTTCTCTTTTGAAATAACGTTTGTTATTTATAAGATAAGATTAAGTAAGCCCTAATTTGATTATGGGAGTGGCTGAATGGTCCCGGGTTCAAATCCTTGTGAAGGTGGTTGGTCGTTGTGCTGGCCACATGATACCCTCCTTTACCGTGGGTCACAGAAACAGGGGACATTATAAATCATCGGCCTGAATGAAAAGGAAACTTGATTATATCATATCGAAAGAAATCACATTAGTAATATACCAAAAAGATAGTCAGCTTCTATAGATCTACGCTTAGCCTATATATCTTTACAAATGACTTATTTACTCAGCGTATTTCACTGTAATGTTTAGATTAGGAGTAAGGTTGAGTAACTGACAAATAAAATATAATGGCTCTCGCTTTGTAAACGAAGTATATGTCATTCGAACTTACATAAAACATCACGTTACATATCAACAGTGGGCTACTTATAAGGGAGGAAATCATGTGGGTTGTATCGTATATATATTTATGTTTATGGTCGTATCTAAGTATTGGATTTGATTTCTTTCTCGTCTAGGATATGACATATCTATCATCCTCTTTTGTTTAAGAACGTGTATTATAAGCACAGATCTCTGACGTACTTGTTATCAAAAGTAAAAGATAATAGAATACGTGCATTCACAGATGTACATGAGTCATGAACTATTGCTGGCCTTATTGAAATTAGTTGTAGTTGAAATAGGTTTTGTATTGATAAAATAATTCTATACTGAATTGGCAAAACACTTTTCGATAAATTGGTAAATTACATTTTTTTTCTATAGGTGTAATTACTTTTTAAAAAAAAATTATTTATTATATGGTATCGACTACTTAATGAGTTAAAAGCAAAAAAAAAAAAAAAATACAAGTAAAAAATTATTTCATTTTATTACAAATATTTTCAGTCAAAGCTTAAACTCATTGACAAGTGGCTGTTAACATTAAACTTATTTATTTCGACTAACCTCATTCATTCATTTTTTAACAACATTCTAGTAACATTTTTATTTAAAAATATTTTTGGAAGACATAGATCTATATTTATTTAGCTATCACAAACAAATATCAATAAACAATTTAGATAAAGCGTCTGTAATTTATAGGAAAACATATGAAGGCAACAAAAATGGAGATGTAACATTACTGGTAAAGCTACTGTGATCTTGCAGAGTTACTGAGAAATAAGATAACTATAGAAACACGTCAGTAAGATAACTATAGAAACACGTCAAATAAAAAACAAACTTGTAAGTACAGCGATTGTGAACATAAGATTATGAAGTAGGCGTGACAATTCTTATAATTCACGATAACAAAGTCAAGATAGATCAAACCACATGTAATATAAACATGTATTGTGTATGTGGATCAAACATCATTATATATAGTAGCCAAGAAAAGAATTTGATGGAAATGATATCTCCTTTTAACTCAATATTCAGTTTTAATAAAAATTGGCATATTTCTCATGGGAAATCACTATTTCAATTTTTGTTTAAACTAGAAGTTCATCTATTTGTTTAAACACGGCCGGATTTAAGTATGTGGAGGCCCTTGGGCAGGATTTTAGTGGACGCCCCTACACTTTTTAATAGCTATAATAAAAGTCCACTTATAAATAATAATGCAATATTTAAAAGCATGCTATATTTTAGAAGAAAAAAACAACAAAATTTGCATATTTTAATTTTAAAAAAGTATATTTTTGAGTTTGTGGAAAGTAAAATCATTGGTAGAAGCACTGCCGAGCATGCTAGCGGACACTTCAGAATCACGACAGTGTTGCCAGCCAACATAGGATTTAAATTGTTAGCTGTAAAAATGTTAGAAAAAAAAAATTTGGGTATATTTTTATCTCTTTCGTCCCTGGATATGGAGACATACAAAATTTATAACATAGACAAAAACAAGATTCTAAAGAATATGAGATTAAACCATGGATTAAACTTTTTTTTTCTAATAAATTATGAAAATTACAAAAATTTATTATTTGAAAATAAATATCACGTAAATTTTAAAATGAATATAAAAAAAAAAAATAGGCGTAGGAAACAAGAAAATAATTTCAATAAAGATAGGTTACAAACTGACACTGAGAGACATAAGAAGTGCAGAAAATAAAGAGGAAATGAATGAATTGTATACAAGAAAACATATGCTACTTAACTGGCAGTGACACTATGGGATGTCTAGTGCAATACAACACACTATTTATCTGTGAATGGGATGCACAGTGGGATGCAATCCAATCCAATATTTATTTCAGTTTTAAATCAAAGTATATTTACAGTCTGGGTCTTTATTGTATTTCGATTTTGAATATCTTCAAATAATTAAAAGTAGGCTTAATTGTAAAATGGAGAAATGTAATAATTTTATTTTCTAATCTAGCGATTTAGAAATTTTGAAAATAAAATGCTTGTGTTTTTTAAAGTAGTTACTTTTGTTTAATTTACAAAAGTAATTAAAAGAAAATAAGACTTACATTTTTATTGCATCATTTTTCTAAGCATCAGCATCCTAAGTCATTTCACGGCCTACAGCTTATTTAGATGAAGTTATAAATAGTTCTAGCATCCTAAGTCATTTCACGGCCTACAGCTTATTTAGATGGTCATAAATAGTTCTAGCATCCTAAGTCATTTCAAGGCCCACAGTTTATTTAGATGAAGTCATAAATAGTTCCTAGATCTTAAGTCATTTCAAGGCCCACAGTTCATTTAGATGAAGTCATAAATAGTTCTAGCATCCTAAGTCATTTCAAGGCCCACAGTTCATTTAGATGAAGTCATAAATAGTTCTAGCATCCTAAGTCATTTCAAGGCCCACAGTTTATTTAGATGAAGTCATAAATAATCTTAGCATCCTAAATCCTAAGTCATTTCAAGGCCTACAGCTTATTTAGTCGTAAAGAATCTAAACACTGCCATTATTCTGCTGCATTTTAAAAATATTAACGATTTAATGCTGTAAAAAGTATGTGCTTAATGCGCTGAAAATGTATTTGAGCCATAAATTATATATATATACAGTCTATGATTTGAACATATCAATTTTAAAAGGCCAGTAATCCCATTTCTTAAATTCTGAGATCTGTTTTGAAACTTGATTCTTTCCCTGTATAGATAATTGACACATTCACATTGTTTAATGATGTGCAGTAGAGAACTAAAACTGCAAGAATTCAGTATTTTTCAGTCAGTAATGTTTTTTTTTTCCTTTAATTTGCTCACAACCAGAAATACAACTTGATAAACTTACAATTTTTTCCCCTGAACATCATGTTGATGATAATGATGGTCATGATCGAGATCTCAGTTCAAAAGTTTGAATAAAATTGTCATTTTGTATTGGAGATTCTCTGAATAGTTGCATCACATTCATCTTCTCTTCGTCTACAGTTGGATTTGTTAATTGCACACACATCGCTGTTAAAATATAAAGTGTATCACTAGTTCTGTAATCTCTACACAGGATACAGCTTGCTATTTGTGGGTTTTCTTTCATTTTATCAAAATCTCCAATCTAATAATGTGAATTCTCTTCTAAGTTCTGCTTGAAGAGAGTCAGTGCTTAGACCGTTGTATAAGTGCGAGGCACTTTTCCCGAAGATTGAGTACGAGTCTCGGGTTGTTACATTTTACTCCCATGGCAGTTCTCAAAGTTTCAGTCATGATGTAAGCTGATACATCCAGCACTTCTCTAGTCAACATGTAGGAGTTCTCTGTAGCAGATAAAAGGACGCACCTGACCATTTCCTCAATCTGCTCGCAGACTTTCTTCTTCTTGGCGCCGACTTTCACGATGATGTCAAAGGTGCAGACTTTGAGCTTGTTGCCTGTGTCCTCTAAGTCTTCTATTGGTGTGGTTAAGCTGGAGATGACCACTGGGCAGTCCTTCAGACACAGCTGCTTGACGGTATTTCGCACGGCTACACCAATGCTCTTGTCTACGCTTTCTCCAAATGGTGATCCCATAGACCTGTGACTAGAGACCAGACAGTTGGCAAACAGAGAAACGTGAGGACAGATGTTCTTCTTCCTCAGGCCATCTCTTAGGTACTTCTCACATGACTCTACGCTAATGATTAGCATGACAGCTGTAAAAAAAAAAGAATTTATTTACAAATATTTGACAAGTAACAATGAACTATGTTGATACAAGTTACATTATATATGTGTCAGTCGCAAATTTTCTATAAAAGAAGTTCTTATCTTATCTTATATAATACAGACGTTACTTCAAAAAAGAAGATGATTACGTCCTACGCGTCATGCATTTAGCCATGCATATTAACCAATGACTTAAATTCTGCCAAATCACTGGTTTTTCTGGCTAGCTCAGGCAACCCATTCCATGCTCTAATAGCACTAGGGAAGAAGGAGTATTTGTACAAATTTGTCCTAGCATTGTGTCTCTCAGAGTATTTTATTAAATTTTGTCTTTGTATTTGAAGATTATGGTTCAGTGTTTTATGTATAATTGCTACTTTACTTTTGAGTCTTCTATCCTGAAGGCTTTCTAAATTTAGTGATTTTACTAATGGTGTTACAAAAGTTATATAATATAAAACCACATACCTATATATACTATAAATAGGTATTTGAGTTCTATATAAAATTTATTTAGGTAGGTGGTGTTTTATTATTACACACCAATTATCGGATTGGAATTTAGAAAAAGCAAGGTTCGTAGATATATATATATGCTTAATTTATAAGACAATGTGCAAGAAAGCCTTTAAAAGGCAACAAGGAGAAAAAATAATACAGATCTAGATCTATTCTTGCGTAACGCTAACGCCGAATAAATTACATCTAAATCTATACTTATAAGCCTATCAGCTATATATGATAGATCTAGATCTAGCCTTTATGTAATGCGTTTGTTTTTATAACACGCATAATTCATATATTATATTGTTACAAATCTATGACAGATAACGCAACGACGCAGATTTATTATAACATTAAACACACAAATTCGACTATCCGCTTTCGTTATATATCAGCGTATTTTCAGGCGACATACTAGCGTAAGTAAAGTTAAGTAAGCTAAGCCACACGGGGAACGGAAGTACATGGCTAAACATCACGGCATCGCGCTATGAAAACTGGCGCGAAAAAAAAATGCTGAGGACAAGAGAACAACGCTGGCAGAAGAAAAGCGACAGAGAAAAAAAGTCAAGGCAAACGACCACAAGCTCAAGCTGAAATAACCTGTCCAGTGTGCAGCCCAACATTCCGGGCTCACATAGATCTCAACAGCCAAACGAGGAGATGAAAGTGCTCATCATCGAACCACGAAGGACGAACTATATGTCTACAATACAGTCATGGGTTATGTCCTTGTTTCCTGTGGAAATGTGCACTGATGCGCACTATAAGCGGTTAGCCTCGAACCGGCAACGCATTCCTTAACTTAATAGTATTCATATATTATTAGCTTTTACACTACTATTACTAATGTACAGAGATGTAAGCCATTTATTTTCGTATTCGTCTATTTCTAGATTCATTCGATCAAAATTACCGCCCTTATTCAAAACGGACAACTCTATAGTCTATAATTCAGTTATATGTGCACTTGAGAAGTTATTAATGAACTTTTAAAAAGTATCGTATCTTACTATTATTGACAAAACAATTATTATTTCTTTTATCGAACACATCGTAGTCGTAGACATAATGCTTCAAACAAGTACAGCAACTATTCTTTTAAACAATGTTGATGATGTATCATGTATGTCCTCAACATATGGCTCAGTCATGCTATTGTTATATTTAATTTAAAAAAAAAATTTTATGTGCGAGTCTTTATCTTACCGCCAAAATAAAGTTGAGCATTCATCCTTAATCTACTTTCTTGTAGATCTAAATAAAAAGGTTGCAATAACAAATCAGAGTCTTACCAAAATTCATGTCGCATGGAACCTTTTATATGCATTATTACGTGGCATTGAGTGTTTAAAATAGCCAAAAGGTTCCAAGTTAATCCCAAAAAATATTACTTCTCCTAAAAGTTAAATAGAATATTTAACATGCTATAAAATCAAATTATATTTTGTTTTGATTAGATTTTTCTCTGAGTTGTCAAGATAAGGGAATTTCCGTTGATCGGAAATCTCCTATTTTAAAATTAACATTGAATAAAATGACATACATGATTGAGTTTGTAGTTGTTGTGGACGATGGTTGAATTATTTTTAGCGATTAGTATTTATGAGGTCTATCCGTCCGTCCATTCCATTAAGATCTCAAGAGTTAGAAAAGATAAATCCGATTTCAAGATGTTTTGCAGTTTACAAAAGTTCTGCTTCAAATGCTACTTTTTATATCGGTATTCTTAACGAAAACCACTTTGTTTTTAAAATTAAATATTGAAGCCTTTATATATATATATATATATATATATAAATACACCGGATTTATAAATACTCCTTATTAATAGTAAAAAAAAAAAATGGAGGCTAAATCACAATTAAGTTGGTTTTTTTTTGTAGCCTATATTTTTACATGTCAAAAGCGATGTTCTTCGGTGAGCTTAAAGAAGGACGGCGTAACAGAGTTGCCTCACGTAAGCGCTACAAAGATCAACTCAGGCGCCATTTCACCCTCACTGGCAGCACATGTCTTCGGAAAGAGACGGAGAGCTCCCAAAAAGGCTGCGGGACAAACTTTTGAGACTCAAAGAAAAGCCATTATTGAAGACAGGTGCAGAAGACAGAAAGAAAACTTAAATAGACCGCCAGCGGACAACGGCTTTGTCTGCATGAAATGCGGGAAAATATTCAAGTCGCAACTGGGTTTGCTTAGTCATGTGAAACACTGCACTCAACCTTAATCTTCGGAATCAAAAACATTGCTTATTTTTTTTTAACTATACGTATTCTAAGTTAAAAAACAATATTTGCACAAGCATATAGTTATTAATACAATAATTATACTAATAGTAAATTAGTTGGATCATTTTCTTGTTTTGCTTTAAATGGACATCACATGTTGAAATTGTTAACATATTTTTGAATTGCCAGGTGGTATAGGCCTAAATAGAGTTTAATTTAATTTCTTCCATTAGATTAAAAAAATATGTGTCCACAACATACTTTTCAAAAGTGAAAGACACTCAAAAATGTCCTTGAGAGGTTATGCTCTTTAAACAGGTTCGTGTAAGACTCATCTTTCTACGAGAATAAACAACAAATAACAACGAAATAAAACAGACTTCCGCTCGAGAAGTTGAGTTGCTATTCTGTAAACTATGTGGCCTCTACGTGTTTTAATTTATTGGATGTAGATGACGGGATTGTTTTAAAGCTATGTATGAAGGTTATAGATATGTATGTAGGATGTGAGGGTTACGCGTAGGGCTAGATAGCCTACCCTGTTGAAAAACCACCAGTTACAGAAACACCAAATAGCAAACCAACAGATGTCGCGCAGATGAGAGAAGATGGACGCCGGTCGGTGAAAGTCAAGAGTCGTGTGTATGCATGTATGTGTGTGTGTTTTACTATGTATGTATGTTTGTTTGTGCGTATTGGTATGTATATTTATGTGTATTTGTATGTTTGTGTATGTATGTAAGTATATATGTATGTATGTTTGTGTGTGTGTGTGTATAAATGTATGTTTGTGTGTGTAGTTATGTATGAATGCATGTGTGTATTTGCGTGCGTATTATAATTGGTTTGCCTTCATTATTTTTTTTCTATTTTAAAATGAAAGGTACTTAATTTTTGGGCTAAACTTAATTAATAAATCATTAAAGTAATCATTATTTACAAACTCAGCGATAGTACATGTCTTGGGATCAACACATCCATATGTACACAGACACACCCACGCACAACACTTTCAGCAACATACACACCAGTTCAGGCCTTCAATGTGTAAACACGTTTCTATCCAAACTACTTACACACTACATTATAATAAATCAACATTGGCTAAGCAGATTGTAATTATTGGTGTTTTTTTTTTTCATTTTGAGTTTAACGATTCAGAGCTCTTAGTTTACTTCCCGATTACTTATGTATTACCCCCTCCCACGCAGACAGCAGAATATATTAACCCATTTTTTTATGCCATATCATCGTTTTATGTCTAAAGAATAAGAGTAGATCTAGAAATTTTTTTTATCTAGGGCCTACCGACCTGTCAAGACGGGAAGCCTTTATTTTAAATTTCAAGACTCATGTTTAAAATATTTATAGACTCTAGACATTTTATAGTTTAAAAAAAAACAGCATTATTTGTGTTGCCAAATATATCTCCACGAAAGGTGATTTTTTTGGTGATTGTCGGGTATTCTTAAGTTCATAATTATATTTTTGTTAATTTTATAGATTACATGAATGGAGGGTTTGTATTTAGTACATTTTTTAAATTCTTATCTTAACACAGGAGTGACCAACCTTTTTGCCTTAGTGCGTCAATTTTTTATCATTCCTAATTCA